GTGTAAGTTGCTTTTGCTTGATGAGGGGAACAGAACTTTTTTTCCGAAACGTTACGTTTCTTTAACAAAAACGGTACGATGGACAATGTCCAATATAGGCCACATATATTTAGATTACTGCTTACTACTTTGAAAGGCAGGAGAAAATCGAAAGTTGTGAAAATTGTTTGAATTATTCATCTCGCAATTCTCTGATGACAGAAGTCGAAGATTCCAGAAAGATTTTCAACTCATTCTGAGGTAGTTTCATCTGGTCTAGTTCTGAGGATTAATTTTTCTAGGTTCAGTAGATGAATAGTGCAACCCATTTTCTACGCTCTGAGCGAGCTACTTGCAAGAAGTGTCCCCATAAGATTCCATCGCCTGTCTTGCTTTCCCTATTCAATATCCATGTCATTGTGGCCTCGGTGATGTGACGTCAATAGGAGACATATAGAACACAAATTACAGCATCACATGAGCTCTTGCTTTTGAAATTAATTGATCTCTCTTTAGTTCTCGTGTTTTGTATGCTACCTTTTTCGAAAAACTTGCGGGTCATGTCCTTCACTCACCAATTTTTAAAACCACACGAAACATTTCACATAACACGTTTATTGACAACTCACTCTCTTGTGACGTAATCCAAAGTTTCAACACCGCTAATACCAAAGCCCGCCATCTGACACCATCAGATGTAAATTACGAGCTCCTCATTTTGTTGGATCCCACTTACTCATTTCATTCTTCTTAATCCAAGTATTCTGTTTTCTTCAGCAGAGCGACAACATGGACGCACTAATTTGTGAAATAGGAGTGACACTAGGGCCATTTTCGAAATCCGATAGCCATAGCATTCAAAAGTAACAATAGTAACCGAAGTCGTATAGGTTAATATATATCATTGAAACCTTTATCAAAAATTGTCGAACAGTTAGGGCCATTTTGGAGGCAGAAGTGCAAAACACACGCGTGAAAATCCTATGTAATCCAAAACGGATTTAACTTCTCCAGTCTCGTAAGATTTGAGGTTTTTACGACGGTGACAATGAAGACTGCCGTCCTCTGGGATGTGGCGCCGTGTAGACCTCGTGTGAACCGACGTTTCGGAGGAACGTCGGTTAACAAAATATCTACACCGCGCCACATCCCAGGAGACGGCATGCTTCTCCAGTCTTATTACAAATTTAGTCCATTTTCCGTCATTTATTATCTCCAAGTCTAGATTTATCTGGCTTGATAATCATCCTTCAGGATTTTTCAGGCAAATGTATTAATCTACATCGTGAAGAGAGGGGGCTGGGGCAGAGAAAGGAAGGCAACAGAATCCCAAAAATAAGCACAAAGACGAGGAACAACACAATTAACAGCAATGGCACACATATTCAGACGTCCGTACCCTACGAAACGTTCGAATCCTCTATTATGCAAAATTTCGCCATAGTTAACTCGCACGTGTCAAAGAACAAATCCCCGATCACATTAAAGAAGGCACCCATCTTGTATTCGCTTTAAATATGAGACAGCGGCTATTCTAATCGAGGGCTTTCGTGTGGCGTAGTCGGTATAGCGACTGGCTAGGGGCTTGACGACTGAGGAGTCGGAGTTCAAGTCCCGGTAGGGTCAAGAATTTTCTTGACACCGGCTCTAGGGTCCACCCAACCTCCTATCCAATGGGTACCTGGGACTCTTTCCCAGGGTATAAAGAGACCGTGGCTTGAAGCTGACCACTCACCTGCAGCTAGTGCCGAGGTCAAGAGAATGTGGATCTATATATCCACTCCCCCATACGCCTTCATGGCGTAGTGCTTTATTCGTTGAGCACATGGACAACTTTACCTTTACCCATTATAGTAAAATTCTGCTGTCTTAAAATAGGTCACGTCCTCTTACTAAGCCACCTTTTCAATTTTATGAGTACTAAAATATTTCGTAATCATATCTGATCTTGAAATTGATACAACAGCTTCATGTGCTCCGAAGTTATTTAGAAAATGAGCAACAATTTTCATTAGGACTGCGGTCTGCCAGTTGGGGCCGCTGGGGTGAGTGGCCCGTGCCTCTGCACCAACAAATACAAATATGGAAGCAGCTAATTGAAATGATAACATCGAGGTTGCGTCTCAGTTTAAACAGTGTACACGTGTGCCAAAAGCGCAGATCGAAATATCGTAATGTAGTCTGTTTGCGGACAAATATTTCGCTATTCAATGGCACAGAGATTTTACATCGCAACGAATGCAGTTACGTAGCTTTTGAGTTCACTCACAGACTAAATTTGATAGTTATCCGGTTACATGAAGATGCTGTATTGAATTGTGATGTTGTTTCTGATTCATCAAGTCATTAGAATGGACTCTACAGGTTTTAGCCACCGATGTCACAAGCGCGAAGTAAACATTTCTATTTCCTGTCTCTGGGCTCCGATGTAATTGCGTGTCATGACAGTGAAAGTAATTAATGACTTAATCTTCTGGAAGGAATAACTTCTGTATTACTGCTGATCAGTTTAACTAATTGTCAGAAAAAATTCCGTGGTCTCTAGTCTGCAAACGAACTATACCGGCCGAGCGACCGCCGCTTGTCGGCAAAGTTAGTGCCAACTTTTGCGGATAGAGGATGTCACATAGTCAGCGCAACGGATCCCCACGGCCGTTAACCTCGGTTTTCTAGACCGGAGCAGCACTGCAATATGTAGATATAAATGCAGTCACGATAAATTCCAGCAAAAAAAAAAAAATAATTCCATAGCGATTTTATTCTTATCGTCAGTAAAAGAGATTTTCGCAAAATGGAAAAGAGAAGTAACGTTATCGTCTTCATACAGTAACGATGTTTCCCATCTGTCTCACAAGAGGGCAGAGTCTAGAGCATCTAGAGTGAAGTCTTGCTGCTAGCAGTTGTTCACTGCCTGCATATCGAATTGTAATAACTCTGAAGGCCTTGACAGCGATAATCAAATTTCGATTGTAATGTATCGATATTTGTCTTCCTCTGCAGCAATCTTGTGTCGACTGGCGGTCTCTGTACGCTCTGTACAGTCTAAGTGGTCTAAGCAACAGAGAACATATTTCTCGCTTGCGAAGTTGCCGAAGTTGACTGTGTTGACTGGTTTAGGATGTAAAAGCAGATTTAAATCTTGTCCTAAGAGGGAATCAAATGAGTTGGTGCTAAAGGTGATTCGTTTAATGAACCTATGATCAATTCTACAAAGGTGAGTTGTCTATGAATAGTGGTTTGAATGCGTTATCATAATCTTGTACGAAGGCAGTCACTGCCATATGTATTAACAAATATTTTACAATTACGGGAGGATTTCGTATTATGCGCTTTGTAAAATCTTTCAAGTCACTATGTTCAATTACATGTCCAATAATTTTAGCGAAGCTACACTGATAATTTGTGTATTTGAGTATATTTTTAATGCAGAAAAATTGGTAAAAAAAAACTGTATAATATTTTCGTTATAATTTCACCCGCAGACTATACGTATTCCACATGATATAAATCTATCATTGAACAGAAGGCTCTTCCTACATGCATGAAATTTCCAGTAAAGTTTTAAGATACTTTTAAAATATGAATTCACACGACTGAACATATACATACAGTATGAGAAAAGTGTGCATTCAGCGGGATCCTTTTCGTGGCTGTTAATTAAATTTGTTATAATTTCGTCGCTATTGGAAATTTGAAAGCATCCCTTCCCCACATAGTGGCCTTTTTGTTTTGTAAATTTAAGAGGCACGAAAAATACCCCATAATATAACCGTCTGCTGCAATGACGTCAAAAGATTGGAAGTTCTTGCTGCAATGACACGATCTTGAGTTGTTACACTTTTTCCTTTGAGGAAGAGTTACAATTTCGTGATAGCAACACAAAGTCTGACGAACTTGCAGATTAGTGCACAGTACAATCAAAGGCGATCCCTGATTTAGTGGAAACGAACCGGTACACCTCGTGTTTGCATAGCTGTGTAGTGGCTTAGCTCTTTTTATAAAGAACATTTGTACTGTAATTAGAATGATGTGTGGGAGACGAAAGTGTATCCTGCAGTACACTAAATTCCACCTGCAAGTTGCGTAGCTCGCCCTGAATTCTGTGTCTTCTATTTCTACCGGCCCCATTTTCACAAGAAAGAAACTTGCTACTTCCATTGCACTGGCCTTCGGACACCCACGTAATTAAGTCTGTAACGAAATTTGTGTAACATTTTTGTATTATTTGGAAATAATATGTTTAATCTGCATAGCTAGTAGTTTGGGGCTCTGAATACCCTTAATGTTCGTTACAGTAGCCTGCAACAGGGTGGCCTGCAATCAGCGTACTTCGTAAAGAATGTGAAATTCTTCATGGATCATTAGGATTCGAGTTATTTGTTGAGGATTATAGAGGAAAATTACCTCAAGATGCCTCACCAACAAACTAACTATTTAAGATTTAAGATTTGAGGTTTTCACGGCGGTGACTATGAAGAAAGCCGTTTTCTGGGATGTGGCGCCGTGCAGAAATTGTGTTAACCGACNGCCCTTTACATCATTTTAAAATTTTTAAAACTTTAAAACCGGAACGTCAGTTCACACAAGATCTACACGGTGCCACATCCCAGAAGACGGCTTTCTTCATAACTAACTATTATTTATTTTTCTCACGGGGTGAGACTTAGTCCACTTGGTATTGCGGCCACTGTTTTGACTCTTGTACCAGCCCCGGATGATAGATGATGATGATGATGATGATAATGATTATGGAGCAATCAATGGAATGCGAATTCGCAAGGGAAACCAAAGTACTGGAGAAAACCCTGAGCCAATATCACTTAGTCCGTCTTAAATCCCACATGACCCGACCCGGGCTCCAACACTGGCCCTCGCGGTGGGAAGCGGGGGATTAACCGCCTGAGCTATGGCACGGCCTAACTAACTAACTAACCATCAAACTAACTGGCTGAATGACTAACCAGCCAGCCGACAGACGCTGCCGATTCCCAGACCGTCATTGCACACGCTTCTGTTCGGACCATCCTGACGGGTTTTCGAGGGTTTTCTCAGTTCTTCTAAGCAAATAATTAGGGTAGAACCTTAAAATAGGACGCAACCGCTTCATGTCTCGTCCTGTCCACCCTATCATTCACTGGACGCTATGTAACCCCTGGAGTTAGAAGGAGTCGTTAAGTAAACTGAGAATCAATCTCTCTTTGCGTCTGTTGGCAACACTGACAGACCCTTGAACCGTGTTCAACCTTGAGTGATGGATTAATCGGCAAAGTTACTGCTGGCTGCAAGACCGGTTTGGAGAGCTCAGAAGTGATTCAGAACGATTTAGATCGCGGTCCCCCGGATTATGACTCCGTATAGTCTTGCAGACGCATGCCGACGTTTCATGTTCTGGGTGGGAGCGAACAGGGAACTTGGCTAGCACTCTGCAGGTTCAAGAGGACCACTTACAACCCCCATCGCTACTTCGGAAACGAGGGATCGTGGAGCTTCTCCCCACAGCCCCAACGATACGGAGCTTAGACACAGGAACAACTTTACTTTTCTCTCGGTGGTTAGGTCTGTATATAATTTAAACAGACTGAAATGCTTAAGAAATTAGAAGATGCATTAGAATGTGGACGAAATGAACGGCAGGAGAGAGAAGCTAAATGAGGAATTTCGTAATATGTGCATATACTTTAACATTATTGGGGTGATAAAAAAAGAAGCGGGAATGTAGCACGCATGGTAATGTTGAGATACGTATATAAAATATAGTCAGAAACATGAAAGGGAAAGGATCACATATGAAACTTGGACATAAGTGGAAAAGTATTATTAAATTGAATTTTGAGCCCAATTTCCTTATTTCGAAGAAATGAAAGTATGATTATGAACTACGTTGCTGTCTGTGTACCTGCTGTGCGCGTGTATGTCTCTCTGTGTACCGCTCACTAACTACAAAAAATGGATGCTTATGAAACGATCTTGTTGTCTGTGTGTCTGCGTATCTCCTTAATCTTTTCGTTTCTTATGCGGCCCCTGTCATTTGAAAGGAAATTAGGCGGTTAGTCCTTCCAAGAATTTATTGATCTTGCTCAGAAGGGACCATTAGTGGGGTTATGTGTACACACTAATGAATGTCCAGTTTCAATTACGGGCTAAAGATGTCTTGACTAGCTGAGCGACTATCGGTTTTTTAAGGACACTGCTTCATGGCGTTGGTTAAGAGGCGTTACCGGCTGTGAACATTAGTCAGGAGATATATTGGAAAGCAACGAATGGGGATAACATTAAGATGGATATTATTTTTTATTGCTAGTGGGGTGGGACTAAGTCCCTTGTACTGCGGCCACTTCTGGCCTATTGTACCAGCCCCAGATGATAGGTGAGTGTGATTGTGGAGCAATTGGTGGAATGAAGATTGGCAGGGGAAACCGAAGTACTCGGAGAAAACCCGCCACAGCGCCTGTCCACCACAAATCCCACTTGACCAGACCCGGGATCGAACCCGGGCAGCCGCAGTGGGAAGCGTTGTGAGAATGGGAGACTCGGATTCTTTTCCAATTCGGGCCCTGTGCTGGAGATACGCTGCCATCAGACTGCAGTTGTACAAGTTGTACAAGACTTGCGAATACCTTAAACACGCGGGCATTGTGGCCGCTGCAGATTTGTTGTTTACACGCTAATGTACCGGCCGCATGCGCAAACAAAGTCAAGTCCACCCCTGTGTAATGCAGGTGGGGTTTAAATATTAAGTAAACAAATAATCTTGTCTTTCTGCCACGTGTTCAGCGTATGCTCCTCAGCAAACAACACATAAAAAGCAAATAAATAAGGTTTAGGGTGCAAGAGTGAAGAGAAAAGAAGTCTTGTTTACCGTACATTGCTTCCCACAAGATGTTTAAAAATATGTTGCTTGTTTTGTCAAAGAACAAAGGAACTTTTAGGGAAGGGTAGAAAGTTATACCTATGTATCCGTATGCTTAATTATGTAACTAAGTTTTTACTTACTTACTTAATCCGTTTCTCTTATACCTTTACTGTGTCGAGTATTTTTTTTTATCATTTTGATCACTTTACAAACGAGTGATCAGCTCGTCGCAAGGCCTCTGCCTAAACACAGGACAACACAGACACAAAATAGACACATGAACATATCAAACATCCATGCCCTATGTGGGATTCGAACCCATGGTTCCTGTTTCCAAGCGAGCGAAGACAGTACATGCCTTAGACCGCTCGGCTTGTGTAACTAGGAATTGTCATTATGCCGTTCTTGAACTCAGCATTAGATCGAGATGAGCGGTCCGCTTTACCCCTGGAGAAAGAGCCTGCGGTATCCACTAGATAGGAGGCTGGTTGGGACTAGTGCAGAAGAGAAAAATCTGACCCCTACCGGGATCCGAACTCCGACCCCTCTGCCATCCAGCCCCTATCTAGCGGCTATACCGACTGCGCTATCCTGGCTTTGTACTTAGAGGGAATAAACTAAATAATATTAAGTTGAGCGTGAAAGCTGTAAACGTCCAGCCTTCGGAGTAAACAGAAAACTAAACGATACTATGAAGAGTTCTATTTTCTGGAATACAACGCCGTTTAGTCCGTTGAAAGTCACGGTCGGCGGGTAAAGCAAGTAACAATATAGCACGAAGCAAGGAGAAGGAAGAACTGTATTAAGCCGAAACGTCAGTTGACTTCAGCCATCGCTGTGAGAACCTAAAATCCAACTTAACTGAACTAGTATGACTACTAACTGGACGTTATACATCATCCGATAGACCAAGAAATAGAACATGACCTTTCGGGAGCTGGGCATGCTCTCATTCTCAGTTGAGGAGCGCCTACACAGTTGTCCGATACAGCTATTCCCAGTTACTGGAACAGTGTACTACATATGGAACACAACGGAGTGGGAACTTTCAGAATTATTTTAAATTCTAAGCCGAACCAAACCTGACCCACTGAAAAGTGGTTAGGGCTCGGGTGGTTACCGATTTTTGTGACTTGGATGTATCGTTTATTCTCATCTAACGACCTTCAGTTCTTGAGATTACAGCCCTGTAGCATCGAAAAATCTAAACTCCGTGGCCTGTAGTCCGCAAGCGACCGACCGAACGACCGCCGCTTGTCGGAGAAGTTAGTGCCAACTTTTGCGGATAGAGGGCGTTACGTGGTCAGCGCAACGAATCCCCACGGCCATTAATCTCGGGTTTCTCTACCGGATCCTCTATT